TATTTTCAAACCCTCTAGATCCATAGTGTATACCCTGTGTATAAGATACAGGGGTTTATTTCGAAATAAATTCTTATTAAAATTAATATTGTTTTCCAATATATATATAAAAATTAGATATTCTATAGTTTTTAATATTTTCACACACATCCCTTTCAAATGGATTCCACTACAGGCATTTTGGGACTGCAACCTCCCATTTTTCAGGTGATCTTGCATGACATCCCTCTCCTCCCACTTACCTGCTCCTCCACTGCATCACCGCCCTCCCAGTGACATTGGGGTGCCCCTAGTGACAGCACCAATCCCCAGACACTCCCCTACTCCTCCCTTTTTACTCACCCCTAGAGAAGGCACAAAACCAGTCCAGCTGTCCTGGCAGCTGCTCACTGCTTTAATAATGCTGTTTGCACATGGACATCCCCCCCAAATGGGGCTCTGCTAGAAGAATAAAGGGATAGCAGTCCCCCAAAAAGGGTCAGGTCCCCCCCAGCTCCTGTCCCACAGGGTGTCCTGCAGCACAGGGGCAGTGTGTCCGAGGATGGTGTCTCTCCTCCCGCTCAGGCTCCACTCCATCATGTTTCCCCTCTATTACTGCACACTGTCCTGTGCCAGAAGTTGTCTCATCCCTTCCCTATGGTGCTGCTGCAGAGCAATCACCCCGTGAGGCTGCAGGACACAGCATGGAACCATGACTGGAATCAGTGCTCACAGACATACCCCAACAGCCCCAGCCCTCGCACCACTGCTGCACATCTCACTCAGTCAAGGAAGCTGAAAGTCAAGAGTGAAAATTAAATGCTAAACTGTAAAACAACCCCAAATCTCAGTAACTCACACTATAAAGGTGTGCCTCTGTTGCGTACAGCCAGGAAAAATACACTCACCAGAGGAGTCTTGGGTTTTCCTTTTGCATTAAGTGGTCCAGCACAGCTGCAAACTGATGCCATTAAATTATCCATCTCCAAAACACCTGGTTACCCTTTGCCCAGGGATTTTGCCTGTCACACCATTAGGAGGGACCCATGGCCAGCTGCACTACCCAAAAGAGATGTCATGGGACTGCTGTGAAACGCACCATTGGAAGTGAGACAGAAATAAACTAATTCAGAGTACTGTCTCAAAACACTGGGGGGAAACACCTGTAACATTCTGTGGCCCTTATGACACAGTGGTGTTGGGTGAGGTGACCCCACAGTCTGCACATCCCAGTCTGAAACTCAGATGGTTCCAGGTTGGTGTGGGAGCCTCCAGCAAGGGGCTCCCTGCACAAAGGTTTTCCAGCTGCTTCAGAGCCCAAGCCCCACACTGGAGCCAGCAAGGACATCCCTCCATTTATGGCATTATCCCATCAGAAGCACTCACACACCTCCACACACATCCACCTCCATCACAGCTCTTGCTTCAGCCTCCTCCTTGCCAGAACTGTCCTGGAAAGAGGAACTAGCCAGCAAAACCAAGGGAAGTGAACCTGTCTATATGGAAGGAGCCAGACACTGCTTTAACTGTTTATCCCCCAAAACATGCTGCAGCTACCCTGTGCCACTGAAACTGGAGCCAGCCACACACCAGCATCTCTGGGCAGAGCTGGCTCAGTAACCCTGGTACCAGCTTCCTGGAGCTCGGCGTTCCCAAGTAGGAGGTGCTTTCCCCAGCTAAGGACACTGTGGACATTGGGTTAAGGATGGGGATGGGGTAGAGGAGGCTGCAGAGGGCCCTAACATAGATGTTGGAGAAGGGAGCCAGGAGTACAACACCCGACATCCATGCCGTGGGCTGACCCCCATGAGGAGAACCTCCAAAACCACCAGCGCCTGTCCCAGGGTCTCACACAGCCTCTTCCCCAAGAGAAGGGCACTCCATTGTCCACACACTGTACCACCTCCCCACTTCCTCTCCTTGCCTCTGCTGCCAAGGAAAACCTTGGGAGTCAGCAGCAAAGCCCATGTGACCAGGGCCATATCCCACCCTGTCATGCCCCATCCTTAGCAGAGCAGATTTCATGGCCAGAGGGAGCTTTTGCAACATGGAGGCCACGAGCTTGGGGCACCTCAACTTTCTGCTCCCCACCCACTTGTCTCGGTTCCCCTCAGTCACTTCTCACATGCCTCAGCTTTCACTTCTCCTTTCCCCTTTGTTAATTTTCCCTGCCAGCTCATTTCCCCAGCTCCTGCCTCACCGCTCAGACGTCTGGTGAGGGCACTGCGCTGGTTCAGCTATGGGCTGGGTGCTGTGGGGGGTCTTGCTGACCTGTGTGCCAATGGCTTGGGTGAGAGGAGCTGAGCAGTCCCCGGAGCTGTCCTTGCCGGGGTTTCTGGAGTGTAAGAAGACCCTAAAGCTCCCACGTCTTGAAGTCCTGCCAGGAGGGGGCTGGGATAACCTCAGAAATTTGGACATGGGCAGAGTGATCAACCTGGGCTACTCACTCTGCAAGACCACAGAAGATGGATCTTACATGATCCCGGATGAGATCTTCACTATACCTCGCAAGCAGAGCAACCTGGACATCAACTCTGAGATCATAGAGTCCTGGAAAGATTACCAAAGCATCACCTCTGCCTCCATCAACCTGGAACTGTCCCTTTTCTCCTTCATCAATGGCAAGTTCTCCTACGACTTCCGCCGGACCAAGACCCACCATGTGAAAGACGGTGCTGTCACCACCCGAGTACAAGTCAGGAACCTGGTTTACACTGCCAAGATTGACCCAGAGGCATCCCTGGACAAGGGCTTCAAGAAACAGCTGCTGACCATTGCCAGTCACCTGGAGAACAACCAGACACGGATGGCTGATTTTCTGGCCGAGGTGCTGGTGCTTCACTATGGTACCCACGCCATCACCTCTGTGGATGCTGGAGCCAGCTTGGTGCAGGAGGACCAGATCAAGGCAACCTTCCTGAAGGACAGCTGGGCCACACGGAGTGCTGTCACTGCCTCGGCCGGTGTGGCCTTCCACTCCATTATAGGTGCGAAAAGCGAGGAGTCCCTGGATGTCAGCTCTGGCTTCACCAAGCAGTATCTGGAGAACCGCACCGACTCCAGGGTGGAGAGCATCGGCGGGACCCCCTTTTACCCAGGTATCACCCTCAAGACCTGGCAGGAGGGGATTCAAAACCAACTGGTGGCTCTCGACCGCTCAGGTCTGCCCCTGTACTACTTCATCAAGCCCAGCACCCTGCCAGAGCTGCCCACCCCCACAGTGAAAAGTGGAGATGGCCATCCGCCGCTACTACACCTTCAACACCTACCCTGGTTGCACTGACGCCACCTCACGCAACTTCAACTTCCATGCCAATGCCGATGACGGCTCCTGCGAGGGTTCCATGAACAACTTCACCTTTGGGGGAGTCTTCCAGGAGTGTGTTGGGTTGGCTGGCCCTGACACCAGCGCACTGTGTCGAGGGCTGGAGCAGAGAAACCCCCTCACTGGGGCTTTCTCCTGTCCCACCACTTACACTCCGGTGCTGCTGGGCGTGCAGGAGCGGGAGGAAGGCCACAGCCATCTGGAGTGTCACAATAAGTGCATCCTGGGCATCTTCTGCCACCGCAAGTGCCAGGACGTCTTCTGGCTCTCCCGGGTGCAATTCAGTGCCTACTGGTGCACCGCGAGTGGGCCGGTGGGCCCAAACTCGGGCTACCTCTTTGGGGGGCTGTTCAGCACCCACAGCGCCAACTCCATCACCGGTGCCCAGTCCTGTCCCTCAGGGTACTCTCCGCTAAAGCTCTTCGATGAGCTCAGGGTGTGTGTGAGCCAGAATTACGAAGAGGGGGCCCAGTATGCGGTGCCCTTCGGGGGTTTCTTCAGCTGCCAGGCAGGGAACCCCTTGGCTGGGCAGTTTTTTTTCCCCTACACCAAGGGCTGTCCCCCAGGCTTCAGCCAGCACCTAGCGCTCATCAGCGACAGCTGCCAGGTGGAGTACTGCGTCCAGGCTGGGCTGTTCACGGGGGGTGCGCTGCCGCCCGCCCGCCTGCCCCCCT